ACCAGAGCAAAAATATCCTGTGCTGTCAAGTTGACTTCAGTCCAGAACTGGTCCCAGAACACATCCTCAGAGGCCTCTACGGGCTACAAAATCACACAAGGGTCAATTTTTAAAAGTCAAAATTAAAAAAGCATAACCTTTCAGAATAAATGCATTGAGATAAGATAGTGGCATCTTCGGTCTATAGACATCTTCCCCTGTATCTTCTTTCAATTACGTTCATTATTTGTCAAATATATATATTTTTAATTTTCTAACAAAATACAAAATATATTATTTTTCCTTTATTTATTTATTTTTTTAACATTCTTTGATACAGGAAAGGGTGTTGACAGAATTAATTAATGCGATTAATTAATGTAAATTCCTCATAAACACAATGTGTTTACTGAGAACAATTAAAGCAGGTCAGCTTCAACTTAAATGTATGAGCATCAGCCGTAAAACTCAATAAGAAACGAGAAAAGCAGACTGAATGTAATTAAAACAAACAGCATGACGGATGGCTGCACACAGCTGTCATGTTTTAAGTTTTTGATTCTCTCTAGTGCATAGGCTATATCTGAATGCTTTGACATTAAATGATGAGTAAAAACTAAATTTAACATTAAAAGAAAGTTGAAATGTCCAAACGAGTGTATAAAGTTGAATATTATTAGATATTATAAGAACAACGTTTTCCATCTGTTACACTCCAACAGCGCTTTGGAACATTTTTAACCCTACACAAATGCTTACAAAAGTCACATAAAATAAACCTGACCTGTGTTTTGGTAGTAAGTTGTATCACCGCTTTTCTGAAGTGCAGTTTGGAGTCTGAATTACCCATCTCACTCCGACCTGTCCACCGCGCACCTGTGTGTGGCGCAGGTGAAAACGACGCCGAATTACCAATCCTACCACGGCAAAGGTTTAGCTCATGAATATTAATTAAGATGTACGGACGTTGACGTGAAATTCGCCAGCTCCCTTGGCACACGTTTCAACCGTCAGCCAATCAGATTGGCCGACTGAGAGAACATCACGTTATGAATATACATGAGACAAGGCTTAGTAGTAGCCATAGTAGAAATCGTTTGTTCGTGACCAGGATGCAAGCAAAGTCTTTTTTTTCCGGGTGTGTAAAGTAAATGTTTGCTCAACGATTACTCTTTAAATGTTGAGTGCCTTAAGCATTCCGTGAATTAACGTTAAGCTGCTTCTTTAAAGGCGCGGCCAGCATTGAATACAGTGAACGGTGTCCTCAGAATAAGCGTTTCCTTTATTAGACTGCTCATTAGATACTTTGTGATTTAAGTATAAGCATACAGTAAACACACAATAATATTTTCTCTGTCCCCAGTGGAAGTATATGTTTCTCTTGAAGGTGTTTAACATTCTTAGTGAAAAAACACCTGTTGTAACTGTGGATATTGTTTCCTGCACCATTAATTGAATAGTGCTTTTAAATACATAGAGTAAAATCTACAAATTTATTGTATTTTAGATACTGACAGCATAGTTATTGGATAGAACTGAAATGTATATACTTTACTAGGAATGTAGAAATACTTTTGGATGTTGCAAGGCAGAGTTTGTGTTTTCTTTATGTTTCATATGAAGCCTAACATTGCGTGGTTGCAAATTACAGATTTACCTCATTCATTGCAATTTTGGGTTTTTAAGCTGAGATTCAGAAATGGTAATATGACTGTTTTTGCTTTGACATTTCAAAAATGGCAAAAGAAGCAACGTCAGATGACAATATTTGGCCAATTATTACAAGCAAAATATGTTTAAATGCATTTTCAAATCCATCATTTTCAAATCCAAAATTCATTCAGAAAAATATTTACATGCTTTACTTGGAACAGTCTTGTTTACATGTAATTTAACTAAATTAATTAAATTTAATTAATTATTAATTTAATAAAACTCATTTCATGCTATTCTTTTTAGTAACTGCTGGTGATGTTCATTCTTACTGTTTATTATTCTCCAAAACAGTTTGTATCTAATATCACCCGCAGCATTTCCTGTGTTTGGACATGTGCAAAACACATTATGTGTTTAAAACCAAGAAAGAAAAGCTCATCTGATTACTGTAACATGTTACACCCCACACTGAGCAAGAGGAAAGATGATCCAACAAAAGCAGTCAGCGTATTAAATTCAAGAGGCATCTTCAGATGCTTTCATATCATTTGCAGTGGTAAGTGGTGATTTTATTTATGTCTGTGTTGCTGCATTGTTGCATTTAAAGACCCCGTCTATGTTTGGAAAACAATACTATTCTTTTTCTGCAACATTAATATTTGTTTTATTTTTTTCTGCATACAAATACCTGGATGACCTACTGACCTTAATGTTATTATTAATTTTACATAAATTTATGTCACATGTTATTTGTGCTCACACTTTATTTTTATTGATTGCAACATTTCTTGGTGTAACTTATTGTTAATGCATTTAATGTAGTTTTTACTCTTTAAACTTTAACTCCTGTTGTTACAACCAAGGACAACCTTTTTTTGACTGGCATAAAGAAGAGGTAATTAAAACATTGCAAACATGTAAATTACATTACATGATTAATTTTTTTTAATTAGCACTACTTTTCTTCCACAGACAAAGTTTGTCCTGCTAGTTGTGTGTGTCTGATCTCCTCATGTTTGGTTTTAAAATGGAAAAATGGAGAGGTGTGTGTATTACTTAATATTGTGTTGAATTGTCTTTGTTTCTTTGACTACCAGTTGATTCACCAATGACAACTCTGCTCTTCATAGAAACAGTTGCTCACTAGCCTCCATCCACATACTGTATGCATATTTAATATATCTGTTTTGTTCTAATGCATTGCAATATTTTTGTGCCATTGGAACAAGATATAATACATTTTTATATGCAAGACAGATTCACTGTAAACATAACATTGAGTATCATTTATCAGTTACCAAGTATGTTATTGAATTTTTTATGTGTACATTTGTTGCTGGGAATCTCACAGGAATGTGATCTGATTTTAGGCAAACATATACATTAACTATTGTTTTCATTATAATATCAGAGCAACCAGTACACAACAGAACTGCACAATGTAGTAAACTGATTAAATGGCAAGCAAACCATAGCTGCACTCTTACATAACTTTAAAAGAAATTACAAACTGGTTTAAGTTATTGTTTAGAGATTACTCTTGGTTCCAGTAATGATCCCCCCACATGTATTAATAAAGGCACCGATGAGATTGTGAGAGCTGCATATAATCATCATCACTGTATTCAGCTGCTGAAGAGAGAATCTCCCTGAGTTTGCTCTGCAGCAGCATTTGAGGTAAAGTTATTTATTCATTCATTTGCAAATGTGCATAAAATAAAATAATTAATATGAGACACATTTAATGTATATATATATATATATACACACACACACACACACACACACACACACACCTTTCTCTTCATTTCATCACATTGTGTTCTGGTTGTATGATTTATGGAATAGATGCAGTGAAGTTTTTCATAAATTGAAAAACTGACTTGGACTGAAATCATTTTATTATGTAAGAAGTAGAGTGAAAAGTGATAGAAGAGACCTCAAGGTAGCAGTGAATGCAAGAATGGTATTTACAGTAGTTTCAAGTTTAGTACAGATTATACAAAAAGTTTTTAATTGCAGAAAACCACAATTGATCATTCAGAGTCTAGTTGTTTTGTTTTTACAGGTTATTTTGTCATAATGAGGTTTCTAATCTCACTTTGTGTTTCACTGCTTCTGCTGGTTAATGGTGAGTACATTTATGAAAGTTGTCAGATTTCTGTCTCTTTTAAATGTCAGCTGACTAGATGCTATATTAACTCATGCTTCAATTTTGCATCAACAGGTGAAATAGTCAATGGACAAACATCAGGTACACCAATCATTCTTCAACTTATAGTTGACTTTATGATGAATCATAAACCCTTTTTCCCCCAGAAATAGAACAGCTCTCAGATAATGGGACACGTTTGATCCAGTCATCCAGTAACCTTAAAGAATGCAGGGAGATGTGTAGATGTAGTCAGTCTGTCAGATTAGTTTCAAGTTTAGTACAGATTATACAAAATTTTTTAATTGCAGAAAACCACAATTGATCATTCAGAGTCTAGTTGTTTTGTTTTTACAGGTCATTTTGTCATAATGAGGTTTCTAATCTCACTTTGTGTTTCACTGCTTCTGCTGGTTAATGGTGAGTACATTTATGAAAGTTGTCAGATTTCTGTCTCTTTTAAATGTCAGCTGACTAGATGCTATATTAACTCATGCTTCAATTTTGCATCAACAGGTGAAATAGTCAATGGACAAACATCAGGTACACCAATCATTCTTCAACTTATAGTTGACTTTATGATGAATCATAAACCCTTTTTCCCCAAGAAATAGAACAGCTCTCAGATAATGGGACACATTTGATCCAGTCATCCAGTAACCTTAAAGAATGCAGGGAGATGTGTAGATGTAGTCAGTCTGTCAGATCCATCCTCCGTTTATCAACCATTCTTTCTTCCATATAGTTATTTACTTGAGCAGCATCTGATGTAGTTGATGCTGAACAAGAGCTAGAGAATGACAATATGTTTGGTTGTGATTGTCTTTTGTCTCTTTTCAACCTACAACTTCATTCAGAATCTACAACTTCCAGCTCTGATCCCTGCTATGATTATACCACTCTTGATGAATACTGGAGAGACATACGACAAAACGCGTATCAGTACTCTGGACAGGATGACACCCTTGTTGAATGGAGTGGCTGGGATCGGCTGTATTTGAATGGAGAAAGTGATCTGATTGTAACACATACTATACTCTGTGGCTCAATGGTCCTCACCCTCAGATAGAGGATGGAGTGGTGACCAGAGAGGTCTGTGGTAATTATTATTGGGGTGACTGCTGTGATTACAAGACAAACCCCATCAGAGTGAAAGCATGTCCAGGAAATTACTATGTCTATGAACTTGTGAAACCACAAATCTGGTGTTCAGGATACTGCACAGGTAATGTGCTTTTTCTCTCTTTCTCTTCCTCTTTCTCTCTCTCACTCCGTCTTTTAAACAAAGTCTTTCAAAACTTTTAAAATTACATAAATTTAATTCATGTCTCGAATGTTCTCCTTTTCAGATGTCAGCACCATTTCACGGTCGATTTCCACTGTAAGTCCAGATATAATTACTGGATCCAGCATTACCTTGAGTAAGATCTATCTATCTATCTATCTATCTATCTATCTGTCTGTCTATCTTTTTTTGGCAATGAAAGTGACATCTCATGTTTGTTTGTTAATGTGTTTGATTAGTTTAGATTTGCACTCATGAAGTTGCTCATTGAAATATAACTGGTCTGTTTTGGTCTCTCACTAACACAGATTATGACCCGTGCAATAACTACAACATACTTGACAATCACTGGAGAAGCACACTCAATTACTGGTCTATGTATGGATACATCTCTGATCATGATGACACTCGTGTAGAATGGGATGGCTGGTATCGACTCTTCATTGATGGATCAAATGCTCAGATGCCTGAGTGGTGTATGTCTTACATGTCATGTGGAGGTTTTAGTGCTCTGTATCTTGGTGGCTTAAAGCTTGAATTATTACGTCTACAAATTTACCAGACCAACTCTTTCAATCCCAGCTCCTGTATATTGTATATTGTGGTTCATTTATCTTTTTATTTGACATGTTTATCACAAATTGCATTGGTTTGTACTTATATTATTATCTTGAATAGATTTAATATGCAGTATGTAATGCTCTCTTTCTACTTTTTAATAACAGTATTGTTAACCACTCCAAGTGTTGACCCCCGCTACAGCTACACCAGTCTGGATGAGCCTCGGAGAGCCACTGATTACTCTAACATTGGCATGTGTGATTATAATGTGGAGTGGAATGGCTGGTACAGGCTGTTCTACAATGGTCAAAATACTCAGATGCCAGAATCATGTGTTAATTATGGCATGTGTGGGACTTATGAGCGTGCAGTCAGTTTATATAATCCCTCCCTAGTGTACTATCCCAGTATCTTATCTGGTCATAAAGACACAGGTTTTTGCCACATAAATAGTGAGTATGTATCATCGCTGGATTGTCCTTTTTTATGTCATTATTCTCTCAGAATCTACAACTTCCAGCTCTGATCCCTGCTATGATTATAACACTCTTGATGAATACTGGAGAGACATACGACAAAACGCGTATCAGTACTCTGGACAGGATGACACCCTTGTTGAATGGAGTGGCTGGTATCGGCTGTATTTGAATGGAGAAAGTGCTCAGATGTCTGAGTGGTGTGTGAGTTATGTGGGATGTGGTGGTGAAACTGGACTGTATCTCGCCGGTTCTCATCCAACACTTGAGGATGGAGTGGTAGCCCGTGAAGTTTTGGGAAGTTCTCTATGGTCTAACCAGTTTGACAACTACACATCCACATCCATCCAAGTCAAAGCCTGTCCAGGAGATTATTACATCTATAAACTCGTCAAGCCAGATCTGTCGATTAACAGGCCTTCATATTGTGCAGGTGAAATTTTAACTCTTTTTCTCTCCAAAATTTTGTGATTGTTTTTATGCCATTATCAAGAGTAAAGGGTCTGATTATTAGATAATACATCAATGAAATTAAACATTGTTTAACCATTTAGAATCAGTGGTGTGCACCTCATTAACCATTCTGTAGGCTACTTTGTAATTCTCCCCACACTCTCATAGCACTTCACTAACTGTAGCTCTCATGTTATTTATAACACAGTTTACATTTCACAACTCTAGATGAACCAATAACAGCACCTTTCTACTTTAAGTGACTTAAATTTCTACTTTGTCTTGCCATGTTATTTATATTAAAATGATAATACAGAATTAATAAATTACTGCATTCATAATGGGTATCTCTTCATAATTTACCTGTCCTCCAGCTAAAAATGAACCAATACATTTTTTTTTGTTTAAATATTCGGAGGTTTGTGTGTTAGTCTAAATACCAGCTTACATTACTTTAGCAAAAATAATGAAGGCTTTATGAAATTGCACTGCCTTTACACTATTATATATTGTATGATATTATATCATGTACTCAGTGCTAGTACATGTGTCAATGTGAGTAGTTATGGTGTTCTGTTCAATTCTGCAGGCTGCATCCAGGTATAATTGACAGCACACCACTGGTTAAAAATGCTCAAATTGCTGTAATTGGCTGATTGAAAATCATGAAATAAACAATCATTGTGTTTTACAATGTAATATTCTAAATTGCATTCGATGTACAGTAAATACAGTATTTTAATAGCACTCTTAAAAAACTCTATGACAGTTGCTTTCAGCAGCATCAGCAGTGATCCCTGCTACAACTATGAGTCTCTGGATTGTCCCTGGAGAGCCAACAATGAAAGCGGAGATTACATTTGTGATGAAGGTTTCTCCTGGAATGGCTGGTACCGGCTTTTCTACTATGGAATGAACATCCAGATGTCAGAGACCTGTGTTAGTTCATACAGCTGTAACACAGACATCAGTCTGTGGCTCAATGGTCCTCACCCTCAGATAGAGGATGGAGTGGTGATCAGAGAGGTCTGTGGCAATTATTTTTGGGATGAGTGCTGTTATTACAAGACAAACCCCATCAGAGTGAAAGCGTGTCCAGGAAATTACTATGTCTATGAACTTGTGAATCCACAATTCTGGTGTTCAGGATACTGCACAGGTAATGTGCTTTTTCTCTTCACTCTTTTTTAATTAAGTCTTTCAAAGGTTTTAAAATCACTTCAGTCATGTTTCGAATGTCCTCCTTTTTTAGATGTCAGCACCATTTCATGGCCAATATCCACTGTAAGTCCAGATATAATTACTGGATCCAGCATGACCTCGAGTAAGTTACATTTGAATTAATCCATTTAACCTCTTTCTCTATGTGTGTGTATATGATCAAACAAACATGAGATTTTCAATGTCATTGCCAATACACACACACACACGTATGTATGTATATTGGCAATGACATTTAAATTTCATGTTTGTTAATGTGTTTGATTAGTTCAGATTTGCACTTGTGAATTTGCTCATTGAAATATAACTGCTCTGTTTTGGTCTGTCACTCACACAGATTATGACCCGTGCAATAACTACAACATACTTGACAATCACTGGAGAAGCACACTCAATTACTGGTCTATGTATGGATACATCTCTGATCATGATGACACTCGTGTAGAATGGGATGGCTGGTATCGACTCTTCATTGATGGATCAAATGCTCAGATGCCTGAGTGGTGTATGTCTTACATGTCATGTGGAGGTTTTAGTGCTCTGTATCTTGGCGGCTCTCATCCTCAACTAGAAGATGGAGTTGTTACTCATGAAATTTACGGCTCTTACTATGATCAGTGCAGTCGCTACAGATCTGAACCAATCCAAGTTAAAGCTTGTCCTGGAAATTATTACGTCTACAAATTTACCAGACCAACTCTTTCAATCCCAGCTCCTGTATATTGTGCAGGTACGTTCATTAATTCTTTGTATTTTACATGCTTTTATATTGAGGTTTTCATAATATTATCTTGGAATCATTTATTTGGCACTATATAACAGTCTTTTTCTCTTTTTTTTATTTTTTATAATAGTACCTTTCTCCACTCTAAGCATCGATCCCTGCTATAACTACACCAGTCTGGATGAGCCTTGGAGAGCCACAGACAATCCTTATTATAGTAACAATTACTACTATGGCATGTGTGACTATAATGTGGAGTGGAATGGCTGGTACAGGCTGTTCTACAATGGTCAAAATACTCAGATGCCAGAATCATGTGTTAATTATGGCATGTGTGGCACTTATGAGCCACTGTCACTCAACGGCCCTCATCCACAGCTGGAAGATGGAGTGGTCATCCGTCAGGTCTGTCTCCCATGGGGTGGCTGCTGTGATTACACATCCCACCCTATAAGAGTCAAAGCCTGTCCCGGAAATTACTATGTTTACGAGTTTGTCAAGCCAATGGTTTGTGGAGCTTACTGTGCAGGTAGATGGAACCACATACATTTTGTTCACTATTGTGGGATTATTTTTTGGAAATGAGTGACATTAACAGAAATCTTTCTCATATCAGATGTCAGAGGCCTTAATGAGACATCAACCACTGGTAAAGTACTGTACTGTTTCATTAATATGCTAAGAGAATCTTGGTGTATACTACCGTAGAAATGTTCGAGAAAAGTTACTTTTTTTTTCTCATGCTCACCAAAGCAGCATTTATTTGAGGAAAAATAGTCCAAAAAATAATGTGTGAAATATTACAATAATAAAAAAAAATAATAAAAAAAAATGTAAAAACAGATAATTCTTTTTGAATATATAGTAAAATGGAATTGATTGCTGTGATCAAAGCTGAAATTTCAGCATCATTACACCATTCAGTGTCACATGACCCTTCAGAAATAATTCTAATATGCTAATTTGCTGCTCAAGGAACAATTCTGATTATTATTATTATTATTATTATAAATGTTTTTAGGATTCTTCGAATTTTGAAATTTAAATTTTAATAAACATTATATATGTCTATACTTCCACTTTTGATCAATTTAATGCATCCTTACTGAATAAAACTATGCATTTCTTGCAAAAAATGACTGATCCCAAACTTTAGAATGGTAGTGTATACATTTTTGACATTTACTTTCATATTTTGATAAATGAGTTTTCCACTCTTATACACAATTGAGTTAACATTATTCTTTACTCTTGAAATGTTTAATGAATAAACCAACTACAATAGCAGTCAATGGCCATATTTGTAACAGTGTCATTTTAGTTTATGCCCGTTAATTATTTTATTCTTTTTGTGGTTTTTCCCCTTCAGAGCCCTGTGCTGAACTCAGCTGCACAGAGGATGAATGGTGTGGAGAGGAAAACGGCATCTATGGCTGTTTGTGTAACGAGAACCAGACCAGACCAGATTCTTTTGGTGAAGCTCATTCAACTACAAAAATGGTTAAATATAGTTTTGTAAGTAATTATTTAAATTTTTTTGTTTATTCCAACGTTTTGGATGTTTTCTCTCTCAGAGTTCTCAGAAACCTGTGAAAGCAGCTCTGGCTCCATGTCTGTGTCTCGCTGTCAGCTCTTTGAGGCTGGTTTTCCAGCTGATGTCTTACACCTCAATGATCCCAGCTGCAAAGGAACGGTCCAGAATGGCAGAGTGGAATTCCATTTTGATAATGATGAACACATCTGTGGCACAAATCTTGTGGTAGGATATATTATGTATAGGCCACTCAAATGTACTATATTATCTCTATGAATGTTTGATAAAAAAAAAAACTCTGAAAGAACATCCTTTTTATCATACCTGTGAATTAATGTTGATTTACTAATGCT